GGCAAAAACTATACATCTTTCCCACTTTCAGACTGGGCATCCAGGATCCACACTCTGTAGCTAGCCCACCCCTAACTCCAGGAAATACGGTAATGATCATTTGGATTCTTACTGCTGCTGGTGAGCTGTGGTTCTCTGTATTCACCTGTCTGTTTGGGTTATGGACTGGCTCTCCATCCTGACCTCCGTTCTCTAGCTGACTTCTGTAGAGCTGTTGATTTTCAGTTTGTTCAGCTTCTTGTTGTGAGCAGAAGGATGACTTAAGCTCTTCACACATTTGGAGGAAAAACTGAAAGCCCTGGATTCATTTCTACCCACCTGTTCCTTTTTCTGGATAATCTCAATTGGCCCCTCTCCAAGTTCATGGATTCTTCTGTCTGCTCAAATTCAATATTGAGCTCCACTAGTGACATTTGCATTTTACTTATTATAGTTTCCAACTCTGTAATTTCTACCTGACTCTTCACAGTAGTTTTCTTTTTATTAATATTCTTTATGAATACTTTCTCTTAGTTCCTTAGACATGACTTTCTTTGAACATATTTTAAAATGGCTGAATTAAATCTTTGGCTAGGTAGGATCAAAATCAGGACCTTTTCAATTAACATTTTGATTGATTGTTCTATCTTTTGTGGGCCCTATTTTACCATGCTTTACAGTCATTTTTTGAAACTAGATATCTTATTTTTTTTAAAGTTTATTTATTTATTATGTATACAGTATGTCTGCAGGCCAGAAGACAGCACCAGATCTCATTATAAATGGTTGTGAGCTACCATGTGGTTGCTGGAAATTGTACTCAGGACCTCTGGAAGAGCAGCCAATGCTCTTAACCTCTGAGTCATCTCTCCAGCCCAGAAAACTAAATATTTTAAATGGTACAACATGGTGTCTTTGAAAATTAGTCTTCTAAAGAAAATGTAGTTTCTTGAGTGGCTTTCCCCACTTGATTCTCTAACATCTGTGTCCTTTGTTGTATGTGGACACTGATTTGCCCAGAGACAATTAATAATTAGGCAAAAATTTCTTTAAATTTCTGTAACAAGAACAATAACAAAAATCTCCCAGTCTTTGCTGAGGGGCTCAGGATAACTGTGAGTCATGCTTATGACATAGAGGCAAACAGCTGAGAACTATGTCTCAGGCCTCCTCTCTTTCTTAGGAAGAGCCTCTAACATCCTCCAGATGCAGTATCTTAAGACTAGCTAATGCTTTTCTAGGTGTGTTTCTAGTCTTAGGCACACAACTTTAAATGGTACATGGTCTTCTAGACTCCCAGGAATATGTCAGAGCTTTCCAAAGTCCATAGAGTTTGGGAATCTCTTTGTCAAGTTCAAAGAAAACTCCATTTCCCCAAATTTCCAAAAGACAGAAAGAACAAATGGCTAGCTGTGGTGCCTATTAGCATATCAAAGCCCATGCTGGCCCCAGGCTCCCTCAGTATCACAAGTACCTGTTATACATTTCAAAGTTCATGCTAGCATCCTAGCTCTTCTTACCTCCTCCCCTACCCTAAACTCCCCCAGCCCACAGGCTTCTCTCCCCCTAGTTACTCATTCTCCTTATGGTCCTGCTATTTCATCTATGGTCAAGCTCTTTGTTGTCCTCTCTCCATCTCCCCCCTGTCCCTCTCTCTGCTCTCCCATGTTCTCCCTCTCTCTATGTTCCCCTTTCTCTCTCTTCCTGCTCTGCCACTGCTTCTCTCATGGCCAGGTCCAATCTGTTGGCCATGTTCAGTCTACTTCTTTCTCTCTGCTCTGGACTCTTCCAGATGCCACCGGGTGTTCTCTCTCATCGACAATAAAAACCTTCTCCTTAATTGCACCACAGAGTGGTCATGTCATTAGTGTATACACTAGGTATAATTGTCACTCAGCTTTTCCTTTATTTTTTGTCAACTAGCTAGAGTCATCTGAGAAGAGGGACTATCAGTTGAGAAAATGCCTCCATCAAATTGGCCTGTAGGCAAGTCTGTAGGGGCATATTCTTGATTAATGATTGATGTGGGAGGACACATCCCACTGTGAACTGTGTCACCCACCAGCAGGTGGTCTTGAGCTTTATGAAAAAGCAAGCTGAGTGAGCCATGAGGAACAAGCCGGTAAGAAGTATTCTCCCATGACCTCTGCTTCGGTTCCTGCCTCCAAGTTTATGCCTTGAGTTCCTTCCTTGATTTCCCTTGATGATGGACTATAGCCTATAAGCTAAGTAAATGCTTTTCTGTCTCAAGTTGCTCTTAGTCAATGTTTTATCACAGCAACAGGAAAGCAAACTAGGACAGTAGCCAAGGTTTTTCTTTGTTTTTATCAGGTTTATAGTACCAGGTATACATTCCCGCTGTGCAACAGACCTCCAATGTGATCAGAAAGTGGTGGGTTACCTCCCTCCCCGTACCAATCACGCCACTATTGCTCTAGTGGGCGTGTCTTGCCCGGCAGGTTAGTATTGTTAGTATTGTTCAGTGATCTCTTTTCTATCCCAGAGGCCAACAAAACACCTTCTGGAACTTGCAAGCTACCCAGCAGGAGGAAAGTTTCCCTGTCAGTTCCAGCTTGATTTCTCTATGTCCTGCAACCGAAGCATGTGGTGTCTTCAGCTGTAGAGTTTTGCCATCTAAGTTACAGTGGCCAACCAAGAGTGTGTCTCTTTGACTAAATATTCCATGCATGGCATCGAGATTTTTCATTTAGTAAAATGAGCATTTTAAGACATTGGCTTCCTCGCCTTATTTTTTGTTTGTTTATTTTGCTTTGTTTTGCTTCTGTTTTGAAACCCCAAATTTACTTTTGATTAGCAGTCAAATTCTAAGTTTCTCTGGGAGAAATAAAATCTGAAGAGGAAAACCAAGAGTTACACATGTTCCGATGTGTTTGGGAAATCTGTGCTGAGGTTTATTTGAGCATGGAATGGAATTCAGAACTCTGGGAAAGAAAGCCAGTCTCTAGAGAGTTGATGTCACACAGATGTGTCCCAGACTAGGGAGATGTAAGAGCTAACAATGGCTGTCCGTTCCAGCAGGCCACACTTCTGAAAGTAAGTTCTTCAAACTTAGACCTCAGCAATTACAGTTTTTTTTCTGTTTTAAGTAACATTTTTATTCTTTGAAAATTTCATATGTCGCATATGTATACAATGTATCTTGACCATATCTACCCTTCCCCCCTCACTGCCCCAGAAAGCTTCCTGACATCTCTTTCCTACTCTTATATCATCTTATAAATTTTTTTTTTATAATCTACTGAGTCCAATAAGTGCTGCCAATATGCACATGGGTGTGGAACTGTCCACCATGGCATGGACAAGTTCTTAGTGGAAGAAAATGGAGTCTTCCTCTCCCAACAACCCCCAATAGACTGCCTAGGGGTGGGGCCTCAGGAGGCCCTCCCCTATATATGCCGAAATTTTAATTGACTTGATCTTTTGTAGGTAATCACAGCTGCTCTGAACCATGGCCTCGAGAAAGCATGACACAGCACTCCTCACTCCACACCCTTTAGCTCTTATATTCTTTCTGCCCCCTCTTCCACAGTGTTTCCTGAGCCTTAGTGTCAGAGATCTGAGGCTGATAATATATGTCTCATCTATGCCTTAGTATTCACAGTCAGGTAATCTTAGCACTTTGACCAGATATTAGTATGAGCATTAACTGTTGCCCACTGCAAAAACAGAAGCTTCTCTGACCAAAGCTAAGACCAGCATTGACTTATCAGTATAAACATAAATATTAAAAGGCAGTTTGACAACATGACCATGTAGTAAAATATGAGTAGTGGGTTCCCTCCTAAAGCCCATGACCTCCCCAGTCAAGGTTTTTGACCAGAACTTAATTAACCAACATGAATTTCCTCTTGTGCAGCAGGCTTCAAATCAATCAGAAAGTAATTGGTTACACCTCCCCCAGCCCAGCCCATACACCATTCATGCCACCATTGAGTACCTACTGCCTGGCAGGTTAGTATTGTAGTATGAGGGTCCAGCATTGAGTAAGACCTCTGGTCCCTTTCTTCCCCACTAGGAGCCTGCACAATACCTTCTGGCACTAAGAAAACTAGTCATCAGGAGAGAGTTTCCTGGTCAGTTTGAGACTGATTTCTCTGTCCTGCAACCAAAGTGTGTGGTGTCTTCAGCAATAAGGTCTTACCATCTAGTTATGGTGGGCAACAAAGAGCATTGACAATACGTTGTGTTTTCTTGGGTGCTTCTGGGTCCTCCCTAACCAGTATCTCAGAAAGTTAATCCACGCTTAGCATTGTTTCCCAAGGTTTAGTTTGGTTGTCTAACTGTATTTCTAAAAATGTTGGCTTTCATCCAGCGTTGAGAAGAATCAGAAAGCTGCACGTGGGCTTTGATGTCCAGAAAGCCTATTTCCCTAGCTCACTTTTCCTCTGAGAGTGTCAGAGTTAAGTTTAAAGAACTTGAGTATTCCAAATGAGAAATGTTGAAGATTTGGGTCTTAGAAGGACAGCAGGAGCTTTCAGCACTTGAATCACCCACCCCACCCCACTCCTGCCTCCCATAACACCCACTATTTGCAAAATAGATGTTCAGGTTCTCAAATTCTTCAAGTTATGGCTTAGAAGTAGTCTTTCCTCTACAAGACCCCTGAAGCTCACACTCAGGGTGGAGTTGGTTGTGACTCTGAGCACAAGCATAATTCAAGAGGCCCAGGCATGTGGGAAGGAGGCACCCGCTAGCTCCAAGGTGGGCCCTTCTATTATTTGAGGGTCTATTAATTTCTGCCTGTCCACCTTTCCACTGCCTGTTCTTTAGCTAGCTCTCTTGCCTCAAGATTTTACATTTGAATCTCCTTTTACATGGAAAATTTCCCACCTACCTACTTTGGGCCCAGTAAGACCTCTCTGGAAAGAGTCCCTCTGGTTTACATGTAATCTGTATTTGAGGTCCATCACCCCTTCACTGAGAGAAGTATGTGGAGGCTGCTAATGACTGGGTGTGAGGGAGACCACATTCACTGCTTGTCTGCGCTTCTCTGCCCAGGTATGTCTAGGTCTTTTGACCTCCGAACAATAATCATGATCGCCATTGGTAGTGGGATCCTGGCAGGCATGTTTCTACTGATAGGAGTTGTTCTCTGTCTTTACACCAAAATATCCAAGGCACTGAATTCAACTAGGTAAGAATGAAAAATACTGTTATCTAATGGGACACTGGGCCCTCTGCTAGAGCAGGGTCACTTCTTACTGCAGTGGTCACTTGGAGGGGAAAGTCAAGGGCCACTGTCAGGTGTGAGAGGATGGGGGCAGGTGGGGACAGAAGCTTGAGGGCTTTCCTTCTAGCTTGGGGTTGTGAGCTTACAAGTCCACTGCTCTCAGCCTGGACACTGTGTGCCAACATTGCTTTCTGTCACTTGGCCTCAGGGAGTGTGCCTTCAGGTGTTTAACAGGACCCTAACTGAGCATCTTTTCCATCCTCAGCACTGTAGACTGGAGAATCCACAGAGGATGCCTTGGGGATGAGCTGTCTCCTACTCAGACAGAGTATGACCATAGTGACCTCTTACCACTCACTGGGAAGTTCACACGTTCCCTCATTCATTTCAATGGCTGTGGGAAAATCCAAGTGGGCCAAGAGAATAGAGACTCCATGGAGGACTGCTGACAGGGATGGGAATCAGACAAGAGATGTTTGAAGTTTGGGAGAGAAGGGACAGCCTGAAGTATGAGGCTGGTTGTCAGCAGTAACGGTGTCCCTCCCTGGGGACTTAGATGGTGGAGGCCAGAGCTGAGTCCAGCCAACTGTAGCACCTTCTCCATCATTCCCACATCTCATGGGCCTGTAGCAGTCACTGGGGTGCAATTCACCCTCCCTTGCTTGGAGTGGTACCCTGGGTTCACATGTGTAGCGATTGTAGGGGAGGAAAAGATGGGAAGGAGCAGAGAGCTTTAACCCAAGGCTGGTGTCGCATGTGTGATGGGCTCCAGCCCTGGACTTCCCCACATAGCCCTCGTGATTGTAAGAAGCTCACTGGGAAGGAAAATTCTAAGCTCGTTTTGTGTGTGTCTTTTAAGAACTTCAAAAGAAGCAGGTGCTGTAAGCGATACTGATCCATGCAATCCAGGCAAGGTCACCTTTGACAAGATCATCCGGGCCAAACCCATCGCTGCTGAGTCTTGTCCCACCCTCCAGTGCTGTGATGACTACAGCATGTATGCAGATATTGGTACCCTGCCACCTTGCTTTTGTAGCATAAGTGAAGGACTCTGACACGGCAGTGGTGGATAAAAAGAAATCTTCATGATCAGTATTTCAATTTCTTAATAGAATATTTTCTTATTCAAGCCAATTTCTATAGTGTTTATGTCACTGGTACTATCTAACATGATATCTATGTACTTTTGTATAAATGGACAATAATGAAAACAGTCTCTGTCTCTATTATGTTTCTTGGTTATACTTCTTATGCCAATACCCACTATGAGATTTGGGCAAGCAGGCATGTAACATGTTTTGGTAAAAATAGGAAAAAGAATAGAAAATAAAAGTGCCCTGCACTTTTCCAGTCCTGGAAGGTAAGTTGATTTCAGGGCACTTCTAACTTGAGCAGCAGTTAAGTGTGGGAAGCTGGGGTTATGGGAATGGTTCTGAGAGATTGTTCCTCCTCAGTCCAGCTTGTCAAATGTCCTGACAGGGACATCACTCACTGGGAGAGAGTGAATACATCCCAGTGGAGTATCTCTCAGTTTACCTTGTCTGACGTTTAATGATGGGTTGATCTTTGTGGCTTCGAAAGAAAGGGAATGTGGAACATAATGACACCCACCTACAATCCCACCTGGCAGGTGGAGGCAGGAGGATCGTGTGTTCAAGGTCACCATCAACTACACTGAGTTTAAGCCAATCTGGGTTACATTAGACCCTTCTTCAGAAAAGAGAGATGGTTTGTGTGCTAGCAGGAGCAGGCAAACCTGAGATTTCTCTCACTGCTGACCAGCCAGATTACACATCTGTTCAGAAGCAGGTGGCCCCTTTTGATCACTTTTACACTGGCCAGTGCCGATTCAGCTGACAAAAATCAACTATACCAAAAGCCTGTAACCCAAGACAGAAGCCCAGGTTCCCTTCCTCACAGCACCAGCAAGAGGATGGACCTCCAGCATGTCTGTTCTTTCTACGGATGCTCCTGCAGCCCCTTCTAGCGCAGATGCCTTACCTGTCATCACCATGAATTTCCTCTCCTTAGCTAGGCATATGAGCACCACAGATATAGTTAATATAAAGAGTTATTAACTAGTGATGGGCTGTCACCTACTAAAAGGGAATTAAAGAAAGACTGGAAAAGGAAATGCAGAGAGCCCCTGCTTCCTAGGGATGGAAAGAATGTGGAGGATGCAGCAGGGGACCCTGCTGCCCTTCGGGAACCATGCTGGCATGCCTGCTCTCAGAAACTGAACGCTCTAGGCCCACCTCTGTAGTGGGCTCCCCAGGGGCACCGCCCCAAGATTCTCTAGGTGAAATAACCTGTCTCTCTTGAGTTTCCAGAACACTGCCTTCATCCCTTACTTGGCTTTGATTCTTTTGTCTACCAGCAAGGTCCTAGTGAATGAAGAACAGTCGAGTACCTTCTAACCTCATCCAGTGGGCAGCTGAGTACCTGATATGGGGAGGCCTGTGGCAGCTTGTCCTTACCTGAGGGACTAGGTCTCATTTGGGTATTAGAAGGCACATGAGGAAGGTGGGACAGGGCATCTGGGGGATTTTCAGGATAGGCAGTAGGTCAGAGCACTCACAGAGAACCAACGGATTCAGATTACATCTTAACTTGGCCTGCACTTTGGGAAGCCCCAAGACCTCTCCCAGCCATCAGTTACTTTCATTTAGAGTGGGACTTGTGTAGGGACCATTAGTGAGAGGAGGTCTTCCATGCTCACAGAAATCCTGACTCATGGCAATGACACAAAGCAGGCTTCCCACCTACTTGGACTCCAGGTGTTCTTCCCCTTCCAGGGTGACTACAAAGCCTTCACACATAGTGTTGCTCAGGGACAGGGGAAGGAGGAAATTCTAGTCATGGGAAGGAGGAGTGATTGAGGCAAAACCCAGAATGGGGTGATTATATACAGATATAGCTGATTGTGAACAGTTCCTAATAACTAGAAGGGTCCACACAGGTATCCCATTCACTACCCCACATAAATACTATGTCCATGTCTCTTATGTGGCTACTTGTGTAGATAGAATCCAGCAGAGCTGTGTCAGGATCTGGGGAGTTTCCAAGCTCCTTGTGAAAGCCACTCCTCAGTGCCATTGGGGTCACCTTGCTGCTGTAGTATAGGGTATGGGGCTAACACCTGACCCAGAACTGACCAGGAATGGATTCCTTGGGGGCACAGTTGAGGATTATCCCCTCCCCAAGTCACAGTTCAGGACTGAATGAGGAAACCTGGACTTGAGAGAATCTTGAGCAACACAAAAGAGCGGGAGGTACAGGAAGGTTCCAGTTGATCCTGCCTCATCTTGACCTCCAAGGAGCTTCTGGATGATTCTTAGTGTCTTAGTTACTTTTCTATTGCTGCGATATGACACCACAACCTAGGGAACTTATAGAAGAGAGAATTTATTTGGGCTTACAGTTCCAGAGGGGGAGTTGATGACCACCACAGTAGGGAGCATGGCTGCAGGCGGGCAGGCAGGTGGGCAGGCAGGCAGGCAGGCACGGCACTGAAGCAGTAGCTGAGAGCTTGTATCTGATCCACAAGCAGAGGGCAGACAGAGCTAACTGGGAATGGTGTGGGTGGGCTTTTAAAACCTCAAAGCCCACCCCCAATGACACACCCTTCCAACAAGGCTACACCTCCTCATCCTTCCTAAACAATTCTACCAAGTGGGGACCAAGAATTCAAATACATGAGCCTTATGAGGACATTCTCATTTAAACCACCATACCTAGAAGGGGCCATTCACTAAAAATTTCCATGTGAAGTTAGAACAAGATTGAGTCTCTCTCTACCATACAGGTTTGTCTCCATCAACTACTGCCTGGACTTTCCTCCATCTCCCTTCCCCTTTCCCTCTCCTTTACACATAGTCAGACTAGAGAAGTTCCTGCCCCAGGGCCTTTACACATGCACTTATCTTAAAGAAATCCCTCAAGTAAGATAAATGATTATCTTTCTATATTTGCTTCCATTTCATCTTCTCAAGATGCCTCTCCTTTTCCTTAATTGGCATCCTTTCCCACCCAAGTTTGCCATAGTCTATCTGATCACCCCATTTTAGTACACTCAACACACTTGCTCCTATATGTATTTTTAATTTGTTATCTATTTCCCCCACTTAGAATGCAGGTTCCATAAGAGTAAAATCTATGTGTCTTGTGCTCACTTCTGTATTCCCACCTCCTAGGACAGTGAACAATGAAAGCTTGCTCAGTGAATAAATGAAAAGTGAATGAATAAATGAATGGATGGATGAATGAATGGGCAACCCCTTTCATACACACACACTCTTCTTCCTAGTCTCACTTGGACACCGGGAGTCCTGTCTCCGAGTTGCAAGCTCATGCCTGAGGGAGTCTAATCCACCCACTTTATCCTCTTCAGAGGGACAGGGCCAGAAATCTTTGCAGGGAGGCCTGACCTGTGTTGTGTTTTCCTCCCCAATCCTTTGTCCCTCTCCTACCCCTCAGATCAGCCTCCTGTAGGCATCTGAGGACCCAACTGGGCCCAGAGTTTACCAGGTACCATGTTATCCCCTGGCCTGCTGAGCTTCGGACCCCAACGACTTCCATTCCTGGAGAAGTCATGGCCTCAAGCCAATGGTGCCACCTCACTGGTGATCTGCACAGGTGGGGCCAAGGCTCAAGCGCAGATCAATCCCAAGGCCAGAGGGACTGCTATGTGGCTGCTGCTCCCCGTGCAGAACTGGGCTGGCTGGCCTACAGCCCTTTGAGAAGTGACGTGGAAGAATGAGTGCAATGCGGGCGACTGCTGGCCAGGATGCAGCCCCACAGCTGTGGGGTTCTCACCAGCATCACCCCCAGCGTGGCCAAACTGACACGTTTCCCTAGATGCCAGGAAGCTTATGAAACTCAGAGAAATATAAAAGCCTGCGGGACCTGAGGCACCCCGCAAAGATGGAGGTCATTGGAAGGTTGTTCATTTGGGCCGTTTTAGCCGCCTGCTGTGGGGCACAGCTGAATTCCACGGTGGCTGAAGGTAAGAAAATTGAACCACATTCTTCAACTCAAACATGGAAGACCTGCTTTTACCAGGCTTCTTCCCAAACTTAGAAAGCTTTCATATCTGCCCTCAGTACAGAGAATAACTCACCTCTGTACTCTCTGGAGGACTTCTGTTTCAGTGGTCATTTCCTTAAGGCCCATGTGGCCATGTTCATTGAAATAGAAAAGGCACACACAATTTCACTGTGTCATTTCACTTTTAACAGCATATCTTAGGAAAATAATCCTAAAGCTATATACCTGCATGAATAGATATTGACATAATTTTAAAAAATGTGAATTTTAGTTGCTGATTATTTTTAACGGCAAGTCAATACAGAGACTTACTCTTAAAAATTCTAAAAGATTACATATACAAGAAAGGGTCTCTATTAAGAGGGAAAACATCTACAATTTTACAATATTGATAGTGCTTATGTCTAGAACGGCGCATGGGACATTTTTAGAATGGAGAAAAGGGAAGAGAGGAAAGGACTGGCGGATTCACAGCAGGGTTTTAGCGAGGATGCTGATCCTGGGTGGGTGGGGTTGTGCTATCCTTTTCAGTTATCCTTGTTTTCCTTCCCCTGACAAGTGTGGAACTAGTTACTGTTAGGTAAACACAGGGATGGCATTCATCGGTCACAGGTGAAAGAGAACGCAAGAAGGTTTGTTTCTAAATACATAGGGGTTTTGATCATCAGTCTCATTTGGAAAATGTATCTATTTTTGTCTTTGCTGGAGTGTGTGTGTGTGTGTGTGTGTGTGTGTGTGTGTGTGTGTGTGTATGTTTTCATGAGGTAGGGTCTTACTACAAATCCCAGGCTGCCTTTTTGCAGGGGAGCCTCCTTCCTCAGCCTTCCAAATGCTGCAGTTACAAGTACATGCCTCCATACCTTGCTTTCCCCAGTTTTCACTGGGTTCTCTTATTTTTTTCTTTTTACATGTGTCTGTCGTGTGCGCTCAAGCACATGTGTCCTCACACATTACAGTGCTCAAGCGAAGTTCAAAGGACAACTCTCAGCAGCTGGTTTTTCTCCTTCCA